TCGTATTGATCCCAAAACCTTACTTGGACACATGATCCCTGGTTGCTATTTCATCCTTCTCATGTTTTATTTTTTACTGGATCGTAACACACACACAAAGGCTCACAACAACACTGTGACAAGATAATGTACCCGCTAACATCATAGCGTACCTCTCCGCCAAAAGCGTTGCCAGATTTAAATTCAAATGTAGTGCAGAGTTTTCACTTGAAGAGGGCACAACAATGACAGTTGTATGCAGAATATTAAAATTTGAACTAAGTTGCACTTAAGTGTCAAATTACACGTGTCTACAGCATGATTAGACACTCATTTATACAGTTTATCAGCAAAATCATTTTATTTAGGGTGACTTGCTCTTTAATGCAACATTTTAACAGTCTTGTTCACCAAATGTCTAAAATTTAAATCTTGACACCTACTTAAAAAACCTCTGAACCAATGAACATCAGAGTGCAAAAAAAAAACTTTCATAGGTGGATTTTTTTCTACCTAGCCAAATAAATTTGACAAAAACATTTTGGAGATTAAATATCAAGTAAAAACACTATGTTGTTGATTTTTGAAATTTCTGGCTGAGCTCTTTTCGTTCTTGTGTTCTTGTCTCTGTTGTCTTGCCCCCCAGCTTCAGTGATTACCCTCCCCAGTTCTCTTATAGTCTCAGTTTGTTATAATGTTTCGCTACACGTGATGACCTATGTTTATGTTTATGTTTATTCATTTAGCAGACACTTTTATCCAAAGCGACTTACAATTTTATAACCTATACGGCATGTTGTGATCTGTGGGGGGAAACCGAAGTACCTGGAGGAAACCCACGCATGCATGGGGAGAACACGCAACTCCACGCAGAAAGGCTGCAGCCGAGTTTTGAACCTGCAACCTTCGTGCTGCGAGGCAACAGAGCTAACCACTGCGCCACCATGCAGCCAAGACAGACTTCTTAGCTTTGTTTCTTCCTCAGTTTTTGCTCTAGAAACCCTGATTCTATGGTTCCTGTGTTTCCCGTATCATAATCCTCTCGTTAAGTTTGGATTATCCTCCAACTGCTCTCCAAGACTCAGAATAAAGTACCTGTCGATGCTGATGGCACACAGGTTGAGGATGCTGGCGGTGCGACATCATGACGTCCAGCGTGAGCAGAATGTCACAGTGGATGAGGCTAAAGTGCCACTCTCCTACCACCTTCAGCAAAACAAACACAAACAGAAGTTGTTGGCGTTTCCCTCAGAAAAGAAAGAATTAATGGAATATCTACAAAACTCGTTCAGATCTGATCTGGTGCTGCCTTCACTGATGCTGAGGATGTCCTGGCTTTAATTGGGTTGATGGATTAGAGATCAATTCTCGGCATCATTAGGAAATATAATGTGAAAAGTTAAAATAGAAATTAATATTTTAAAGCTATACATGGTATTTATTAATCACCAGAGCAACAGTTTATTTGACATCACTGAAAGATGTAAACGATTTTCTGGTTTTAGACTCAAATATGAATTAATAGCTGATTTTGAAAAAGTTGTTTTCCAGCCATCCTGAGCACACGGTTACTGCTTGCTTTGTTTTGAGTAACAACTGTTTGGTGTGATCCTTCTAGTGACAAAATGACTCATTTCAAAACATTCAAAAAATATTTAAAAAGACATTTTATAAAGTTTTTTTTTTGCAACAGATTCATATTTCTAGAATATGTCATAAATTGGAGCTTTCTGATTACATTTCCATCAACATCTGCTTACTTTGAGGACTTTAAGACTAAAATCTTTCTTTTTGATGGATTTTGTAGTTATGGTGAGCTTGAATAATCGTGGCTTATCCCTTTAGTTATGCTGCTATAGGCAAGGCAAGGCAGCTTTATTTATAGAGCACATTTCAAACACAGATGGCAATTCAATGTGCTTTACAATTATCAGGATATGATATGAAAACAACATAAAAACACAAATTAAAATACACTGAAATATAGTTTTTGAGTTAAAGGAGAAGACAAAGTTACAGCACAGGTTGCAGTGGAGATGACGCAACATAAGAAACAATGCTTTTAAAATGCTGATTAGTACATTAGGGTTTTTAGTTTTGATTTAAACAACACTAGGGTTAGGGCACATCTGAAGTCCTGGGAAAGCTAATTCCATACGTGAGCAGCATAGTAACTGAATACACCCCCACCATGTTTTGTTCTGAGCCTTGGTTCTACCAGCTGATTGTTTCCAAGGGCTCTCAGAGCCCTATTGGGCGTATATACAGGAATGAGATCGGACACGTATTTTGGTCCCATCCCATTGAGTGATTGATAAACTAGTAGTAGCACTTTGAAATCTACTCTGTAGTTTACTGGTAACCAGTGTAGAGATCTAAGAAGTAGTTTACTGGTAACCAGTGTAGAGATCTAAGAACAGGAGTGATGTGCTCCGTTCTCTTAGTTCTTGTTAAGACTCTAGCAGCAGCATTCTGAACAAGCTGCAGTTGCTTCACAGCATTTTTGGAAGACAGAAGACGATTGCAGCAGTCCAACCGACTAGAAATAAAAGCATGAATAAGTTTCTCTAAGCCTGGTCTGGACATGACACCTCTAACTCTTGATATATGATGAAGGGGGATAAAACGCTGATTTAGTTATAGCCTTAATATGTCCAGAGAAGCTGAGGTCTGAGTCAATAATAACACCAAGATTTCTAATCTTGGTTTTTGTCTATAGGCTTAGACTGCTGGAGCTGACATACGTTTCCTCTCTCTGCTGGCTTTCTCGACATTTGGATTTCCAGTTATTGCTTCCATTTACTTTGATGACTCTAATCAGTCCAAGCAGAAGGCCACTCATCTTGGGCTTGGTTCTGGTTCTGCTAGAGGTTTCTTCTTGGCTGACCGTGTTTTTCTTTCTACTGCCGCCCATTGTACTATAAAAGCTAAGGATAGGGGAGTGTACTCAATGCTGCTTTCTTTATGAAGAACCAAACGGAATAATTAGCATTTACATGTGCTACCATCGGCCTGAATCGGGGCCTCTGAATTTGTGCAGAACTTTTAGATCATTTTTTTGAGACATGATACACTTTAAATTGACTGCATTGGAATCTGAATTACTTCAGACTTAATTAGTTCATTATATTATATAAAAAATAAACTGTTGCATTTCAGACAAATAATTAGAACTAGGAATTTAGAAATTCAGTTACATTAAAAAATACTAGAACTTCAATTTCTATCCCGCCTGCATGTAATTAAATCATTTTGTTTTAATTATATGTTATATTGAATAATTTCTTTAGTCCTAAATTCTTACATTTTTGGATTTATTTTTTGTGTCTGTTCCAACTGAAAATGCTGTACTCTAAAGACAATTATTCAGATATAGTTCTTCTGTTTCTGAGGCTGTTTTTCCTCTTGTCTTCACAGACAAACAATAATGAGTAAACATTTTACCTCAAGGTAAACTCCCCAGGGCATGACCAGCGTTGCCAGCAGGAGATCGGATACAGCCAGGGAGACGATGAGGTAGTTGGTGGTGGTCTGCAGGGCGCGCTCCCGTGACACCGCCACACACACCAACACGTTACCGAACACCACGCAGAAGATCAGGAGCACCAACAGCACTGCATAGAAGTTGTCACGAAGGAGATGATGGAGAGCTGGTGCAGTTGGAGGAAGTCAGCAGGGGAGGAGGATGAAGAGGTGGGGAGGGATACGGGAGAATACGAAGGGTCACTGGTGATGAAAGCTGAGAAATTGTTTTTAAAGGAGGATTCGAGGAAGGAGGGGAGGGGAGGGTCTCATCCGACTCGTTGACTAAGGTCATGATCTGGCTCCAGTGAACATGGTAAGGCTGAAAAGTGACAACACAAAAAGAGAATGAAAGAAATAATTACTGCAAGACCTCAAATAGCCCACATTCACTGAACGGATCCAACAAAGAGCGGCCTCTTTGTGTGACAGCCGAGGGAATTAAAAGGGAAGGCTGTTTGATTTCACCTTGAAGAGAGGACTAGAAAACTTCCCACCTGTGTCATTGATAAGGTCAGCCCTGTTCTCAGAAAGGACTTGAAGCACAGCCAAGAAAAAAATAAACTGAATTTCTTTCGAAGTTCATTTTGGCCTTTTCCACACCAAAACTAGAGGAAAGTCTTCTTTCACCGTTAGGAATCTTTTGGTTTCTTGGGCTCAGTAACTTATTTTCCCTAGACGATTCTAGTCGTGATAATGTAATTTAAAAATAACACCTTGTTGCATCATTTCTTTTTGTCAAATGGTGGAATCGGATAAAAATGCAGATGCTTCAAAAGGGGCAGCTTGACAAGTTAAATCCAAGAGAATCCAACATATTCATAAATTGACATGAATGAAAAATAAAAAAAACACAAAACCAAAAAAGTTTAAATAAGTAATGGAATGGTTTTAACACCCAAATAGCCAGTAGCTACAGAAGAAAAGAAAAAAATGCTTCTGATTAGTTGCAGATAATTCTGGATAAATGTTAAAAAAATGTGTTTGCATCTCATAGAATTGGGACTTTGCAGCACTTACAGTATGTAACAAGATTACTATGTGAGTGAGTTATGAGTATGTGACATAAGTGCAAAGAAATTGCAACACTTATGTAATTGTGATGCAAGTCAAAATAGTCTTAGCTGTGTCTCAATATGTTTACAGTTTACTTGATTTTTATTTGGATTTCGGTCATTTGTTGAATATCTGACTTATAAAAACAATCCTGAAAAGGAATAGAGGTGGGTTTCCCTGTCCAACAACACACTACAGAGGCTTTGAAAACCACATCAAAATTTAAAACCCTGTCTCCAAAAGCTGAAGCCCAATCACACTGACTTAAATATCCTCATGAGCCCAAAATCTTAAAGGTGTCCTGGAATGAGTCCCCCACCCCCACCCCCCCCCCCCACCCCACCCCAGCATGGAGCTCTACAGCATGCACCCAACACTACACCATAGTAAAAGTAAAAATTAATGTGGTTTAACACATGGCATTCCAGCATTTTTTAACAGCGTCCTCGTCTTTTCCGACAGTGCAAGCTATTTCTCTCCAAGAATTATTAACAACATGTTGATCACGGTGATCTCTGAGAGCTGAATCATACAAATGTCTGTATTTATGAACCTCCGCCATACTAGTTCTTGCCAGTCCGCCATGTTTTTCTGCGTCCAACCATCCGCGTGGTTAGAAAATTTCCTAGGTGCGGAAAGTTTGGGCCGTGCGGAGGCGCGGTGGAGGGGCGTGGTTGTTAAAATGACACAATTTTGCTGCGCGGAGCCGTGCGAACCTCGCGGACGCGTCAAGCATAAACCAAGCTTTAGGAGCCCTGATAAATGGAGACACAAAATCAACCTTGGCTGGTTCAACTCTATGGCTTTATGACTAAGCGGACATTGGAGAGGAAGATCCCAGGTAAGGGCGTACGTGAGCCGCTTCTTCGTAGACGCACGAGCACTCCTGCACGTTTCCCTCTCCTACGGCGTCTCACTTTCTTAATTAAAAAGTGGACCAAATACGCCACACCCACTAAAAAAACTGGAAGTAGGTCCGTCGGCGTTGATGTTCTGCCGTTTAGAAGCTCTTCACAGGTGTAAGAGCATGCTGACACACGATTTACATTCAAAAACAAACAAAACACGACGCACGTTAGCACCAGGGCGTCCTTCCTCGGCACCATCTTGGATATGTCATGGAATTGGTGTTCACAGTGGTGGAGGTGCATGGTGGGGGAGGCATGTGACACCAGAGTGGCTGAAGAAACCTGTGCAGTAGGGGGTGTGGGGGGAGGGGTGTGGGACTTCAAACCTTGCATAAAAGGAGTTAAGTTTTTCAGCCAGTTGCGACTGGTACTACCACTGATACTAACATACAACATAAGGTAATAAAACCCTCAGTCTCCTGCACACTCCTGATGTAATTTGAGTAGCAGCGTATGTTGTTTTGCAACCTGTGAGCGCTGTTTAGCATTAGCACCTTAACAGATATTATCTGTGCCGTGTTCCATGATGCTCATAAACCAACAACCAGATGGGTCCACAGATTGTGACATTTCTGCCTTATTAAACGGGGGTTCTGAGTTTTCATTTCCCCTCTTACCTGCATGTTTATGTAGGTTTACATGTGCCACCTTGTCACGGTGGTGCACTTTAGGGAAGTAGAGATGGCCTATTATTGGACAGCTGCTGTAAGCAGTGTGTAAACCACCCCTCATGGGGATTAATGCTCAGCTGCATGCTAATCTGTCATTTCACGGTCATCAATGGCCAGAGATTAAATTAATTCTATCTGAGGGATGAGTTTTGGACAGACCGGTCTCTCCACAAACTGTCTGTTACCTTGGCAGGCACAACAGAGCCACTGATGGGAGGTGAGAGGGGAAAAGTAGATTATCCACACAGCAGGAGAAAGATTTACCAAAGACAGGTAAAAACGGGATTCTTTTATCTTTACAAACCTGGAACCTGCAAGACGTTTGAAGCAAGCAATGATTTTTTTCAAGAATGAATATTTGAAAAGGAAAAGGTTAAACCAATGTCTGGAAGGGACATCTCTGTTTCCTCACATGATTGCTGCAACTTCCCTGAAAATCTGATAAAACACAAGAAAAATTTAATTAAAAAATCTACTTTTATTTATTCACATCTCGCTCCTTTTATTCACGTACCTTACACATACAACAAGCAGGTTCTATAATGCCAAACAAAATGTGACGGAAAATATTTGTCACCAACAGGAAATTGGAAATGAACCGCAAACATTAAATGCCCCTCTATGAAATCCCCTGTCATATTGAAGGTCATGAGCACATTGAGAGCCCCACATGCTCCGTCACATACCATCAATTCTCCTGTTTGTGCCTTCAACCCGTGGTCTGCATAAATAATTAACACAAGATGTGTTGAGTTTAACCAGCCAATGAATTCCCCCATCTGCTGCCCATGGCTGGAATGTTCTCACTTGTGGCAGACATATTGATTTTTACCGAGTAAGACTCAGGCTTGACTTTCTAGGAAAACAACATGATGCTGTTTTTATAAAGAGGGTGATGTTCATGATGAGATGTGGAGTTTAGTGTGTTTGGATGATTCTAGGTGTCACGGCTGCCAGCCTGAAGAGGGGAAAAAGCAGCCAGGATCACCCAGCTCTGGTGATTGACTGGACACCGCCCCTCCTCCCCCTCCTCTCTTCCAGGCTGCTGAGGAGCACAGCTGTGCTGAAGCCTCCTGATGAGCCACACCTGGGATAAAAAGGCTGTGCCTTCAGCAGTCTGGGAGGCAGCAGTGCCGGGGTTCTGCTGTCCTCCAGGTCTCGTTTGGTTTAACACCGTCGTTGTGATGAGTTTTAACTTATAGTTTTAACTCTGAGTGATCCACATGGGTCTTTTGTGCATGTCACCTAGTGTTGACTGTGTTTTAAGGTTAACTCTGATTTAGTTTTTAGACTTTTATCAACGTCATTGTGCTTTAAAACACCTTCAGTTTAGGTAAAACGTTTAATAAAGTTTTAACCAGGTGTTTTATAGAGTTGATAATTTGTCTTTTAACTGTTAACCTTATAGTGAATTTTTCGTTTTGCATTATTTTAATAATGCTCGCCATCTGTTTGCTCTTGTTTTTAGAACCTTTTATCACAATTAAACCCATTTTAAACGCCACTGTCGTATTTCTTATGTTACCCCCTCCTTCACATTTTAACATCTCCTGTCGGGGACGTAACACTAGGTTTCAAATTTAAGTCAATAGAATCCTTTGAAGGTAATTCTGCTGATGAGAGTCAGTAAGATTCTGCTCTAAAGAGCAGAGATTCCCAAAATCCAGAGTCCGAACCCCAACTGGATCACACAGTGAGTTGTTTTTTATCATATACAACGTATATGTGTACGCTTACTACACTTTTAAAGTATATGTGATGGAAAAGCTTCTTGGTTTTATTCTGACTATGTGTTGTTATATGAAAGAACAGTACAAAATATAAAATCGTCATCGTCTTCCTCCGCTTGTCCGGGTCCGGGTCGTGGGGGCAGCATCCCAACTAGGGAGCTCCAGACCGTCTTCTCCCCAGCCACCTCCACCAGCTCCTCCGGCAGGACCCCAAGGCGTTCCCGGACCAGATTGGAGATGTAACCTTTTCAACCTGTCCTGGGTCGACCCGGGGGCCTCCTGCTAGCAGGACATGCCCGAAACACCTCCCCAGGGAGGCATCCAGGAGGCATCCTGACCAGATGCCCAAACCACTTCAACTGGCTCCTTTCGATCCGGAGGAGCAGCGGTTCTACTCTGAGTCCTTCCCGAATGTCCGAGCTCCTCACCCTATCTCTAAGGCTGAGCCCGGCCCCCCTACGGAGGAAACTCATTTCGGCCGCTTGTATCCGTGATCTCGTTCTTTCGGTCATTACCCAAAGCTCATGACCATAGGTGAGGATTGGGACGTAGATCGACCGGTAAATCGAGAGCCTGGCTTTCTGGCTCAGCTCCCTCTTCCCCACGACAGATCGGCTCAGCGTCCGCATCACTGCAGACGCCGAACCAATCCGCCTGTCGATCTCCCGATCCCTCCTACCCTCACTCGTGAACAAGACCCCGAGATACTTAAACTCCTCCACTTGAGGTAGGACCTCTCCCCCGACCCGGTGTTGGCAAGCCACCCTTCCGGTCGAGAAATATGCATGAAAGGTTCATTAACAAAACATTTACTGCCAAAAATTCTAATATTGTAAATTGTATAATATTGTAATGTGGGATAGGTGCACACAAGCTTCTTTACTTCAGCCTACTCCATTTGAGCATTGTTGTTGTGAAATTTGAAAGAAT